CAAACAATCAAGAAACAATAACATAAATGAATGTGTACATCTAAATTCTGTTCTTCAATGTTTCCCACTACAATATTTATCCATATTGTATTGTAATTTGATTGCACCTCATTGGGAATGGCCGGCCTAATAGTGATATTACGGATAAGAGTTAGTGACTAAGATACAATGAAGAAGACTAAAAATGGTAGTGTAACTCATTTACTATTAGTGGTAATAGTTGCAGGATTCGATCCAACCAACGATTTAGTGTGTGCAATACAATTGAGTTCTCCAGATATCGATCTATGAGCAAAAAATTTATACGCTCTAAGCGAATATAAAAAAACACGTTTTCAAGCATCAAAGTAATTCTCTCGGACTTTTATCGTGTTATATTTTACATGGAGCATATTAACGACGAATATAATTTATGTTCTTAGAAATATATCAATATTGAATTTTATGCGTTCAATTTTTTTTAATTTTGATTTCTTATTATTTTTTGTGTCAAAAATAGGATGTTCCTTTTTTTTTAAGTAAAAACAAAAATCGATAGGTGCTTACGAACTCGAAGTCTCCGTGAGAAGTCCAAGTTAGTGAATTATCTATTAATTACTGAACAGGGAAAGGGCGTGATCAATATACACACACATCCAGTCCACACCAACATTTCTTTTTATCCAGCCTAATACAAAAAATAATAATTGAAAATCTATTAACTCATAGACGTCACTGTGGTTTTCCGATGGCGTAGGTACAACATACACTTAAATTGGAACGACAAATATTAGTGTCTTGAAAAATACGACTGAAACCTCGCTGAAATAAAAATATTAAGTTGTCAAATTATCGCCGTTTCTACTCATGACATTAAACATCAGCACAATTACGTAATAAACTTTTTTCGCAAAATACTAATAGAATTGAATTTCTGGAGAATTTCTTTCTTCATCTTCAGAGTCGGTGTATGGAAATGATAGTGCAAGGTAGAGGGGGAAGAAAGAGGTCGACCGAAGAAGACATGAATGGAGTGTGTGAGTGATGATATCAGAGAGAGAGAGAGGAGTGATTGTTGAGATGACGGCTGATAGAACAGAATGGAAGAGAAAAAATTGCTGTGCCGACCCCACCTAGTGGGGTAAAGTGGAGAAAAAGAAGAAGAAGAATAGAATTGAATTTTTACAATGAGCAATTACGTAAAATATGATTTCCCTCCCCAGCTATCACCACCATGCACCTATCGTCATATTTACAACTATTAACGTGTGTGTTATTCTCTGTCTTTGAGGATCGCTCATCCAATGGAACTTCATACAGATCTACATGGCGCGCAAGCGATTTACAAATTCAGTTAATTTTGTAACTTCTAAGTATGTATATCCAGATTAAATTAGTTGTCAAATATATAAATTCTATCAGCCAAATAGGAAACTTCTAATTGCAGAGCTAAAATGCAATTTCTCTAAATAGCTTTGAAATGTTTCAATTGGTTGTTAAAACCATAAATTTCCTTAAAACATTTGAAACATTTTTTTTTTAAATAATCGTTAAATTATTTGGCTAAATGTAAAATAGTAATGGTACTGCTTCAAGTAAATTTAAATTTTTCATTATCGAAATAAGTAACTTTTATTACATTTCAATTATCTCTTAAATTTTATTTTTAGATTGGACACCTTCCTGTATAATTATCAGATATCTGTCACATTTGGCTTCTGCGCTTATAATTCGACATATTTAATACCCGTGGCGCCAATTGCTCCCTTTATCATTGAAGATTAAGATAATATCATATTTACACGAACGTTATTAGATTCAAATTGTTGCTATGTCGCTTTAAATACGATGTGTGTACAATTTATATAAAATATTCTTAATTTTTTTAATCGATCGAAAGTTCGTCTACTTTGTAGTTGAAACATTTTCAAAACTAATATACTCGTAATGATTTTATGGCCACAACGTTTTACCAACCCGTCAGTTTTAAAACAAAAGTGCTGACATATTTACTGGCATGCGTGATAGTTTTTATTATTTGTCAGCATACTTCAAATTAATTCATACTTATTAATATTTTAATTGTGAATGCGATTTTATTTGTTTATCACGCTTGCGTGTCTTAACTACTCAACCGATTATCATGCGCTGTTAGAGTTGGAAGAAAAGACATGAGTATTTTTTATTCACGAAAAAGTACTATTCGTGAGGGATACAATTTATTCTATACATTAACGTGAACGGAACCCTATTAGTTAGTTACATTTTTTTTTCTTTTAGATGAATCAAAAACCTAGTATTACCACGTAAGTCACCGGAGCCCTACGCGGCGCACCGAATTAACTATACCGATTTTTGTTACTAGCGCCTGGATTACCTAACTTTGCCTTCTTTTCTTTTTATTGTATGTTTTAGTCTTTTGGATCTCTTATAAATAGATTTTATCTCAGTATCTTCGAATTTGTCTGCCCCAGAGTCTACTAGATATTCTGGCGCCTTAGTAAGAAGATCGAAGAGAGAAATCGATATAATTATTTTATTGCGCTACGTAGGGCACCGGTGACCTACAAGGCAGTGAACATGTTAAATCTAAGTGTTTCTAGTACCATTATTAACGTTGATCCGATATTCCCTTGTTAGTTATACTGAAATAAATCACAGTTCACGTAAAAATTCATTAACATTCACAAATACAGTTACATAATTATAACTTTTATTTTTTTTATTGCTGAAATGTGTGGCCGAGCTACAGCCCACCTGGTGTCAAGTGGTTACTGGAGCCCATAGACACCTACAATGTAAACCGCCACCCAACTTGAGATATAAGTTCTAAGGTCTCAGTATAATTACAACGGCTGCCCCACCCTTCAAACTGAAACGCATTACTGCTTCACGGCAGAAATAGGCAGGGTGGCGGTACCTACCCGTACGGACTCACAAAAGGTCCTACCACCAGTAAAATTCTACATTACAAAAAAATGTCCAAAAATGATGATTTATATTATTTATTTTATTTTGATAATTCAAATTGCAATTGGTTCTAACGTATTATGTGATATTTATACAACTGTTTAAATATGAGATTTCGTTAAATAATCGAATTAAATTATAGTCTAGTAGTCAAACTATATTATAAACACCTGAACAGACCGGATCCGCTCTGCCCCTCACAATCAAGGTTGCCGCGACGCTATGTGCTGTTGAAAGTTGGTTGACGGAAGAGCGTTGTACCGGAAAACATGACTCCCTAATAGGTCGTTACCCCTCAATTGGCGATTCGAACCAAGAGGAAGACTATAACTTGAATCTTAAAGTAGATCCAAACTTCTGGATGTTTGTTATGTCGCAAAATCAAGGCTGGTCCAAAATAGAACCCGCTACAAAACAATTCTCGGTCAGATCAAATAGGTATATGATAGTTGGAAACCATGATTTTATTCCCCTTACAGCATTACTATTCCAGGAATCGATTTTCTGAATCAATTCACACACAGTACAGCATAGGCGTAGCATTGATTCTTAGATATGATTTAACACACCAGAGAAATCGTTTTGTGTATTTCCCTTATATTCGCTGAGATGGGTACACCAACTTCTCATTTGATGTTATGCAGAGTCAGGAACCCAATAGAAAGTTACATTCCCGATCCTGCGGACCGAATGGTAAACAGTCGACGTCGCCCTAAACACGTCATTTCGGATCCTCCCGATCCACTAATTGTGCTTTTAGGTACCCCAAGCACCGGTCATCGTTCTCGTCGAACCCTTGGCTTGCGACGAACGGCTCGACGAGTAAATTAACCCATAGACACAGCCCACTGAGTTTCTCGCCGAATCTTCTCAGTGGCTCGCGTTTCCGATCCGGTGGTAGATTCTGCGAAGCACTGCTAGGGCCAGTGTTAGCAACACCTCCGGTTTGAGCCCTGAGAGCTCATCTACACGCTGGGGTAACGCTGATAATCAAGGCTATCAGCATAGGTAGGAAAAAAGCCCAATAGCCATAGGGTAAACGCCGCGATTGAGCTGAACACATTCATTAAAGTGTCATTTTTATTAATACAACGGCTACAAATTCAATTGGAAAGGAACAAGACAAATTTATTATATCGACGACGGCTTAGACGACATGACTGATTGTAATCAACAAATACTTTAATTTTACAAAATGTTTTTGCGACCCATCATCGGTATCGTGCTCTGTATATATTTTTATTCTTTACAGCTTTACTTCAACTAAACTTATCGTTCATTTATCAGTAAACTGTTACATAAATAGCATCGAGATTTGTAGTATCAACGCCGTACCTCTTTAAAGATAATATATAAAAATTCATTTCCATTCATAAAACTACATTGAACATCCGTCAATAAGCGCTACGAGGCTGCGCAATACGAATATTCGTTCGGGCTGTAAAATCATCCGTTGAAAACACTTAATCGAATACTTATCGTCTTATGTCTGGAAATCGATTGAACGTGCTCAATGTGTGCGAACAATAAATAGAAAAAAATATATACCTATATAAAAAAAAAACAACAGAATGTACCTTCGATACAAAATTCAAGTACTACGAAAATGCAAACGCAAAATATTTGTACCTTCTTTTGCATTTAAAGCTTATGTGGGTGACCGAGCTCCCGGTTTGCGAGTTGAAAAATGGTCACTGGGAGCTTCTAGTCGTATCCAGGTGAATTCCGCCACCCATATTTAGGTATTAAGCCGAAATCTCAATAGTGTTGTGATATTAAGGCTGTCTCGCCCATCGAACTGGAATGCATGAAAACTTCGCGGCAGAAGTAGACAGGGAGGCGGTGTCTACGCGTCCAGGATTACAATACGACTTACGGCGATCGCAATACCCTGGTTTTATACTCAGAGAACGCCGCTCTCCATTCTTCGTTGATTCCCTTAGTCGCATTTTACGACATCCACGGAAAGAAAAAGGGATAGTACTATCATAGACAAACGCACAGCCAAATTAACGAATTACAAATATTTAGTATTTATTTTTGAAACTTACATAGCCGAACTTTGCCGTCATGTTGTGTACCGTTGTATATTATGTTGAACACACATCTAACTTGATTACTCAGCCGCTTTTCCTTTAACAAAACCGAACAATTCACTTTATGTAATAATTTTTAAACACACTTCCTATTCAAAGGAACAAACACTAAAAAAACATAGGTATACTTTTTGTACTTAGATTCAGACAAAACTCGAACAATAGCTTTTGTAGTCACCAGCAAAATATACAAAGTAAATTCTGAGTTCTGAAGAGAAACACATTTCACATCACTTTCATAATTTTCCGAATAAGCGACCAAGCGCGGCTTCAGAAATGGAACACCCTTTATTTGTCAAAAGGCTTTGAAGGCGAGTGCTTCTTTGAAGAGCGACCGTAGAATTTGAATTTTTTTTTTTTTCAAATGCGGTTGGCTTCTTTTTTTTTCACGCGCGTACTTATGTGTTTAGCGCGAGCAGAGACATGTGCGCTGCGCGGCGGGCGGCCAACGACTACGAGATAAAAACCTCGCTTGATTATAAACTTATAAGCTAAACTTTTTTGTTTGTGTGCGTTTGTTTGAGACGGTGTGCACGCGAGGCTTTGTTGGTGACCTTAAAAAAATTTTCATGAGGTAGGAAAGGGACTAGAAGTAATAAAAAAATAGTATTCGTAAATCTGATATATCATTACTTTAGAAACACTAAAAATTTACACGTTCAGATAAACATGTATTATGTAAGTAATATTTATTTATTTTTTAAACATAACACTTGATTCTTCTAAGTATCAAATGTACTGTTTTTTTCTTTGATGTATTTTCTATCGCCAAATATATGGGCTTTACAATTTTAGCAACAAGAAAGCTCGTTATGACAGTGAAAAATAAATATTATTTGTAACTATATACTAAAGTATTTATAGTTAATTATAATATTCCTCTAACAAAGTCTTAGAAAAGCAGTTAGAAAAATGTTTACTAATCCAACACATTGACTGTTTTGGAAATTATGCCATGCTGTCTGATATCAGAGATTCTATGTAAATCTGCAAACGTTGAAATTGATGCAGTGGTAGAGCCCAAAGAGAACCACTTGCTTAAATAAATAAACGGGAAAATTTCACGAAATAGTCAATCCTAAAATTACGAAAACAAAGATTTTTGTATTACTTATTAACAGCTCTATAGAGGTCGCCAAAATAATATTCTAAATGAATATTTTATGTTAATATTTTAAGGAACAATATAATATATGTTGTATAATATAAAACAAAAGTAAAAAACGATACACGAAACACATGTACCTGAGTATTACGTGGAAACGTAATCTATTCGCGGCACTATCAAAATAGGTCAATGCGGCAATTCTTTACTGCAGTCGAGAGCTTCACGATAAACAAACATTGTTACATATAAATCGTCGTTTTTGTACGTTTTGTTACATTAACACGAACGCCCTGAGCTGTAATGGATTCTGAACTTGTCCTGGTCACGCTATTTTAGTGTCGTCGGATTAAAAACGAATTTTGCAAATACATACTTCACGCTAAACTATAGGTATAGGTAAAGATTAATTGCTGTTCGTTAGTCTCATTAAAACTCGAGAACGGCTGGACCGATTTGGCTAATTTTCGTCTTGAATTATTTGTGGAAGTCCAGAGAAGGTTTGAAAGGTGAATAAATATGAAAATGCTCGAAATTATACAAAAACAAACAATTTTGTTTTTCTTTTGATGTGTCCCTCGTCGGACGGATTCCTTTTGTTTTTTTTTTGTTTTTTTTATACAAAAGTTTAGGTTGAGGCACTACAAAGTCTGCCGGGTCAGCTAGTTTAGAACATATTTGATTTCAATGATGAGTTAATTGACCACCCGGTATTAAAGATTAAAATCATTCGAGAATAATATTAATTATGAAATAGGTAGATTAAAAACCAAAACAACGGAAACACGCGATACTGTAAATAGAATTAATTCAAGAAACGATAAAACAACCATTCATTTGATTATAATTATGTAGGCAAGTTGTTTTAAAACCAATGTTGTGTTTGATCAGCTGTCAACCTTGCATTGCATTAATACAGGGCTTCGTGACCCGATGCACATATTCACGAGTTGCAAACAAAACGTATTATTTGTAAATTGGAAAAAAAAACTGTTTTTTTTTTCATATCGAGCGAACGTAAAATTTTACAAACCGGGCCTTACGATGTAATACAACCACATAAATCTACATAGAATTATAGCATTCACAAATATCTTTAGACCTGTGTGCTAAGTGCGAGTTTTTTAACGTTATCGATAGCGTAAAAGTTAACTCAAATTTGGATACAGTTGGAACAGGGTCCCTAGTGGCAAACGTATTCAAAGGTAAATAAAAATCTAAAAAAAATAAAAATAAAAATTTAAGTTAACTTTTACGCTATCGAGAACGTTAAAAGACTCGCACTAAGGACACTGGCAAATATCGTAACCTGCAAGTAACCGACGAACATAATATAATTAAGTATTTCAGGAAGGCTCTCGTTGTGTACACTAGAAATTATTTTGTAAACGTTATCAACTAAAAATTTTCTTATGACAATGACGAACACAAATTTAATGAACAGTTTGTATATAAACTATGCCATTGTTGCGTCAACGGGTCTAGCGGATAGCCCAAATTCCGGCAAGCAAGTAATTACCCATGGCTATCGACAATATCAGGGACAATACAATCGTAGAAATCTTTCGAAATAAAACATCTAGAACTACGTTTGAAGAAGCTCACGATTGTCATCTTTATTGATTCTAAACTGCATTTGTAACCCCATACTGTTATGTAGAAAAAGCACTATCAACCTGCCTACTTTAGCCCCTAATCTGTTTTTTTGTTTATAGGTAAATGAAATATATGGCGCACGTAGAAGGCGGTCTTCGTATCCTGATGACAATGTACTCCGGGAACCACTTATTACCGGGCGAATTAATGGAAATCATCGAATTACCAGGAATAAAGAATACGGCTGCCAAATAACTGAATGTTAAACCGACGTTTTTAAATTAACTAATACGTTCTATAGTTTTCGATTTTTTAAGTAGACAAACACGATGCCTCTCGACATATTACGAAAACTAAGATATATACAGCACTATGTGGCTTTTATTAAAACGTACGAGTTCTATTGACCTTTCTAAGTCACGAGAAGCAACTTCCGACTTCCGAGTAGAAGCGAATTTAAATAATTTCCTTGATTGGTTTTATGCATAAAAAGACACAAAATAAATTCTGACTTAATTAAACTAGTTTCGATATTAATACGTAAATGTGAATGATTAAAGTTTATTTTGTAGTGCAAGAGCAATGACTGCCACTCCAAAATCCGCGTGGTTGAGTCTTGGACCTTAATCTCAATAGATGAATCACTGTTGGAGGGCTCTATATACTCTAGACTCTAGACTATTTAGTACCAAATGGGTAAATGTCTATTCATTAACTAATATCTAACAAAAAGTTGTAACTGTGTCCCGAAATTCCACGTTTTTTTTTATTGCTTAGATGGGTGGATGAACTCACAGCCCACCTGGTGCTAAGTGGTTACTGGAGCCCATAGACATCTACAACGTAAATGCGCCACCCACCTTGAGTTATAAGTTCTAAGATCTCAGTATAGTTACAATGGCTGCCTCATCCTTCAAACTGAAACGCATTACTGCTTTACGGTAGAAATAGGCAGGGTGGTGGTACCTACTCGCGCGGATTCACAGGAGGTCCTACCACCAGCTTAATGGAATATGTCTTAATGAAATAAAAGCTCACATTATTGATTAAGCTACGCTGTCAAAGTTTCATCAGTCCATATGTAATCAAATCAAAATCAGACTATTATCCTTACATTTTTTCAACAAATATACAAGCAGCACTAACTGTGTAGATTTAAAAATTATTCAGCCATTGTAACTTACACTAAACCAGTAAAAGTTAGAATGCGTCAGAATGATTACATAATAATTTTATTTCATTATTACATAATTACTATGTAACTATAGAGTTTCGTGTTTTGTAAATTGATTGAGTCCGTTTAGATTACAGGTACAGTATTGTTTTCAATGTTAAGGCGTAATTTTCCAGTAATGCGCGGAAAATTTTATTTGTTTATTATTTTCATAAAACCACCTTGACCCACCCAACAAGCGGTAGATAGTAGACCATTAAAGCTTGGCCTTTCCAATAACTGTTTATTGGCTTACTTAAAGGCCTTTGCTAAAATATACATTTTTATTGGAAAGGTTGAAAATTTCGTCTCATTAATCAACAAAAGTCGCACGTATTATTTCATAATCAATGGTAATAATAATAATATATTTTAGCTATTAATTTTTATAAATAGGCATTTCATTATGTTTCTCAATTCACAAGTTAGGCAATATCTAAGCCCTTCGCTTTTTGAATAGACAATTACTAATCACATACATGGATTAGATGAAGGGAACAATTTATTTTTTATGTAATAATCGTGTTGCCTAAAAATAATCAAAATAAGGCGTTTTCCCGCTTGCAATCTTTCTGAATATTTTCCAAGACATAAGAAAGGCTCATTTAACATAACCTGCCAAGTACTAGTAAGAAGCTGAAATAGCCTCTCAAGGCTTGACGTGTAGCTGAGCTCACGGGGCTCAAACTGGGAGTGTTGCTAACACTGGCCCTAGCAAGAGGAGTGTTTCGCAGAATCTACCATCGGATCAGGAGCGCGACCCACTGAGAAGATCCGGCGAGAAACTCAGTGGACTGTGTCTATGGGATAATTCGCTCGTCGAGCCTTTCGTCGCAAGCGACGGGTTCGGTGAGGACGGTGACCGGTACTTGTGGTTACCTCATGAAAATATGTATACCAATTTGCAGCTACAAATCCGAAGGTTCTCTAAACACTCACGTAATAATAGACATCATTTATTAGTCAGTGATTTCTATATCAAGTACATTAACATAATATATTCATATGTCACATGAATTCCACTCGAAATACCATTAGTAAGTGCGAAATGTAATTTACAACAAATATGTTATTGAGAAACGGTATTCTGTTGACACAGCACAATAACGTCAGAGTACATTTGTACGTTGTGGCGACCACGTATTTATTTACATTGTACACGATAATATTACAATATAGTAAATACTTCTGAATTTGGTAATAACCATACCACTTACCATTTTTTTATATTTCAAACGTATATCTTTCAAAGGGTTACATGATGGATTGACGATGTGGGTAATGAATTTTTCACAGCCTACTGAGTTTCTCATCGGATCTTCTCAGTGGGTCGCATTTCCGATCCGGTGGTAAATTCTTCGAAACACTGCTCTTGCGTGGGCTGGTGTTAGCAAATTTGCCACACTGAGCCCCGTGAGCTCACCTACTCGCTCGGTGAATCTAGTATAACCCATAGAGCTTACCAGCATAGGTAGGAAAGAAAAATCCTTCTGTTATTTTTAATGTACTTAATCTCTTCTTCTTTG